TTGAGAAATTCAAAAATTAATCTCCAGAATGCATTAATCAAAATTAATTAATCAAAATTTGCTACCTATCAGAAAACATTCGTTCTTATTACGATAGGAGAAATTCTTCTATTTTAAACCGTACAGGACTGTACAGACACAAAAAAATAAATGAACAAATACACGTCATAGTAAAAATATAAAACTTCTGAAACCATTGTACATTACTTGCTTCACATAGAATCTAAAACAGCAGTAACAGTAAAATAAAGTGCTGTCAAAAGGGTGTTGTGAAATTTTCGGTCAGAGTAAAAGTATAATGTTTTACATTTCTGAATTCGTTGTCGAGCGATTTCAGAACTATAGAGTCGATAAAATATGATGTCATTTTTGCCTCGGTCTCCCGTTCAAATCTAATTTCGCCCTGGTGAAACGCAACGCGGGCCACGTACACCCTCACCACCCGGCAACCACATCCACGGCCGTCGCTACACCGCGCGCATGTACTGTACACTCGCTGCGGCACTGCACTTGGATCTTTTGGGTCGTGAAACAGGGCCTTGCGGGTCCACGTAATCGGCGTAGCGATAAGAGGTCGGAAACGCGGGGCATCGCATCGAGGGGTGGCGGCGCACGCCCTTAACAGCATTGTTATTTACGCGCGTGACGCGGTTCGGAGTTCTGAGCTTCGGACGGACGTACGCGCGCGTCCGGCCGTATGACTCACGCGTGTTTTTTTTCGCGGCGAGGGACCAAACCACCGGCGGCGGCGGTGGTTCGCGCGAGGGGACGTAGCGAGAAACGTTTCGGTCCATTGTCACCGCGGGATTACTCGATCGTCGTCCTTCGCCACCGGTTCGGTGCTACGAATATATTATACGATATATGGCTACTGTTATCGGCGGCCAATAATCGCTATGGAATATCAGTATAGCTGCTACGTTCAACCGATAACGATGATCGGTGCACACATGTGTGTACATTTTGTGCGCGTGTGGTCCGATCAGAACCAACAACAACAACAACCGTATCGCTTTGGGATTCATAGTATTCGCCAGGGTACGAAATCCACCGCGAATGCACAACGATAGTGGCACGTGTAGTTGCCACGGCTGTGGTGGCGGGATGGGGAGAGGGGCTCCGGGTATAATAATTTGAATTCATCAGAAATAGTGTTAATCTTGCGCTTTTACCCTTTTATCTCTCTCGATCAATCAATCTCTCTCTCTCTCTCTCTCTCTCTCTCGTTACGTCTCGGTCTATTTATCTCTCTTTGCTCTCTTAATAACAAATTCCGAAGGGCATCGTAACAGCAACAACAGTCGCCCGCGCCTCGTTTTATCATCAACGCTGCGGAGGCGACTGCCACGCTCACGTGTATAATATGCGAGTTATTACGGACATTCCGAGTGGCGCGCGCAGTACGCACCACCGACGACAGCGGCACCGACGACCGAAACGCATCGACGGTGGTGACGGTGTAATGCCGAGGACTCGTTTCGGTCGTACGCCGCCAGTCGGTCGGCCGCCGTCGCGCATCTACCGCCCGCCCGCTCGACGCCGATTTGTACATCGGACGCCGCGTTACTCCGGTGGCGGCGGCAATGACGGCGGCAGCGAACGCCGTTTTTACAAAACAACCAGCTATATTATAATATGGTCGACGGCCTTCCCGCGTCACCCTTCCTCTTCCTCCGCCGCTCACTATCCCCTTCACCTCCTCCACCACTACCTCCGCCCAACACACAACACAACACTACACAACGACAGTGTTGCCGACACCGACCTCTCTCGTTGCTAGCGCTTACAAGCTTTAATAATAATAATAATAATAATAATAATAAGAAGAAGAAGAAGAAGAACATTATTATGATAATGACTACGACGACGACGACGACAGTGTCCTCCTTTAATAATGTATATATATATATGTTTTAAGATGTATACATATATTATTATTATTATTATTATTAATCGTACAAACGTTCGTTTGTTTTTATTTCGCGTTTTAAAAATTCGACGGTGCGTTATCGCAACACCGCGATAAAATATACGAGCATTGGGTTGGGAACGATTTTGTAATACTCGTATGGAGCGTAAATATAATATTTCAGTAAAACATTAGAATTGTATACGCTGTGCTACAATATTTTTGAAATGTACAATTTTATCGCAACAATTATAAATGTGTTTTTCATTCGTAAATGCGATCGGGAGCAGTCGTGATGAAATAAATATGGAACGTGATGGGCACAAAGTGCGAGCCACTAATTGTTGCGTGCAGGGTTCGTTTTAGTTTTATCACAATTGATTCCGTCTGACCACGTCCACGGAGGAGTTGGTCGAGCCAAGGCGGCGATTTTTACTCGTACTTTTTGAAAATAAGCGGGCTTTTCACGGATCGTACAGGACATAGCAATATCTCATGGTGTAACTACGACGGCGCACCTAACGGCAGGCCTCATTGTCATCAGTGCAGGCAACTAGTACCGTGCGCGCGTGTGGGTTTAAGTACGCGGATCACTAGTGTGTGTGTGTGTGTGTGTGTGTGTGTGTGTGTGTGTGTGTGTGTGTATGTGTGTATGTGAGTGCCGTGTTTGCGTGTGTGGCGTGTCAGTATTGGCGACGGGCGCCTGTGCGTGTGTGCCGGAATTAAAAAATGCAGTAACCGACACACTAACTCTCCGCCGTCCCCACTCGTTCATATTTTATACTCCGCTGTAAATATACGCACACACACACACACACACACACACACACACACACATACACACACACATATATCTTTCGGCGGCAAACTCGACGTCAGAATATTACTATCAGCGTTACTAAAAAAAAACACGGGCCGCTCCTTCCAACAGCACGGGCAAAATTCCCAAGTCTTGTATAACTCGGTTGTCGGAGAGAAAAAAATTCGATTATCACTCGACGGCGGCGAATATAATTATTATATTATTATTATATCGCAGTTACGTCATTGCGCCAATTGACGTTGAGGCCGCAAACAAATGATAAACGGCTCTCGGTTGATAAAAAATAATTGTAACTATATCAAACAACAATATTTTATATCTAAATATAATATTGCTCTATCGATCGGTCGATTTCCAAATAGTTGCTCATGTCGGAGAGACAATAACGAGTTGTGCACTGCTGCACTAGGGAAATTATTTTATATACATATATTTATATATTATATATATATATTTATATATTTATTTATATGTTAATTATAACAAACACTAGGCAAAGATCATAACCATCAACATTTCCTTAGAGTAATAAATACCGACCTAGTTGAAAAACACACGCCTATTTGCATTTGTTTTTTTGGATAGGACTGTTTTTGGGTATTAGTAATTCGAATGTGCCGGGTACGGCTGTGCCATCGGCCGACGGAGAAGAAATAATCAGTGACTTTTAATGAATTTTTCCTGACATAATTTTTTTTTTTTTATATAAAAATATGACACACGAGCGTATTCCGTACACGTTGTACCTACGTTCGGGGAAAATTATTTTCCATCGAACCGCGAAACGTACGTTCGTCGGCCAAGTGAGCGAAGGCTGTTTGCGAAGATTCCGCGGGCATCGGGTGGAGACGGTAGGTGGTTATGTGCGATAAAATTATTTTTCATGTATAGAAATAACGTAGTCGTTCGGATGATAAGGTCTGGACGAGGTGGAACGAAAGGAGGGAAAGGGGGAAGGTCGAACCAGGTGTACGCGCGAAGTCATACATGCACGTACGGGTATGCGGCGGCGGCAACGGGTGCTCAGCAACGATCGGTGGGTGCGCGGTGCGGAGAAGTAAAAGGAATGGTGCTACGATGATGGCCGACCTCGGTCGCGGCGACGGCAACGCGGTTGGTCGGTTCTTAGTGCGCGCGTGGAGAACCCGGACAGAGTTCTCTGCGTCCCCGTGAACCGATCAGAGCTCTGAGAAATAACCTACGCCTGGTCACATCGTCTTGGAACCGCGGCTCGCAGGCCATGGTCGGGACGGTATCGCGGCCAGCGGTCGACCGGGAAATGGGCTTTAAGCGGTCACCGGCCGCCCGCGGCGGTCGGGAAAACCAGAACGAATGGAAAATACGTTATCGTTGCCAAATGGTCTCGCGTCGGGAATATGTACAATATAATTGCGCGCGTAAGCACGTCGCACCGAACGGCATTCGGTGGGCCGTCAACTCTCCGACGTCCGATTGATTGGAGTGCCGGGCACACGTGTCGCGAGAACGTTTGGGTACACGCGACCGAATGGTTCGGATAACAATAATGGTATCGGCGGCGGACGTAGGCCGGGACGGAGTTGATAAAGCCGACGAATGCGTCGGCGGGCGGACGACGCGGCGAGCGGGTCGTGCGTGCGTGTGCCGCCTACGTACGGTGCACGTGGTGATAAAGCATTGCATGTATGACGTTGCCCTACGATACGTGTGTACCGTACACACACGCGTAAGCGTTATTACAATATCATTCAACGCGAAGCGCGGATACCGCCGTTTTTGGTTCGGCCTTTGGACACCGTGTCCGGCGGTGGCGGCGAGAGCGCGCTGCGGTCGGCTGCGATCACGAAAATATGCGCGTGGACGTGCGGCGGCCGTGGTCGTGGTGTGATCCGTATAAAGCGCTACGGCCACGGCTGTGCGGCGGCTGGGTAGTATAGTAGTAGTAGTAACGGTATGACGGTCGGGAAGACGGCGGCGGCGGGGAGCGGTTCGCGTACAATGCTATGGCGTGAGGCGATGTTAGCGGCGGCGGCAGCGTCGATGACGGCGAAGCGGTGAAGTGACGGTGCGGGCATGAAGTGGAATAAACATGTATATGTGAGCGAGTGTGCGTGCGTACGCGTGTGTATAATGTGTGTGATAGACGAAGAGTAGAAGGGCGGGTTGGACGGGTTGCGGCGAGGTGGGCGAGCGGCCGTGGTCGGCGGCGGCGTCGGCGGCGGTGGGTCAGGTGAAGGGTTCGTCGTGCCGAGGTGGCGGCGGTAGTGGCGGGGGTAACAGCAACAGCAAAGCAGCGTCGTCAACAACAGCGAGCCAGTGTTATTCACGAGTTACGCGACGTAGCGCACCACTGCACGCAGCTCGTCCTGAACGCGCACTCGCACTTACGTATCGCTTTTGCGCGCGCTATTGTGTGGCACGATCACAACAATATTATAATATTGTATCCACCAATATCTATTATATTTTATCGATTTCGTTAGTCGCGAATTTTTTTTTCTCTCCATAAACGCCTCGTTTAATTTTCTCCGATCTGTAAGGCCGTCGTGGGGGGACCGTGAATCACGTACGTCCGTTGTTCAGGTTTTTCTTGTTTTTCTCTCAACGTTCACCAGTCCTCGCTATCGAACTAGCGGTATTTGTCGCTCTAGAGGGACCCACCGACCGGGGGGACACGGGCACGACCGTTCAACGGCCAGAGAAATCCGGCGTTAAACCATCCGCGACCCGTTCATCAGCAACCGCTCGACCGATCACCAACACGACGACTTTTCGCACTAGCGCCCGGTGGACGGAGACCACTGTTATTGCCGGCGTGAACGTTATATGATGTTGGCCCGGCGCCGCAGACGCCGATACCGACGTTACAACGCTTCAACGACTATCAGGAAGAGCGGAACAGTGACAGCGGCCGACAGACTAATCATCGTCAGCAGAACCAGCAGCTCCAGTGACAACGACGCAGCCGTACGCCAACATGACGACCACCGTCGGTCTGCTCTCGCCCCTATTGCCGCCGACCGCTGTGACGGCAGCCGTGGCCGAAGAGCATCAGCAACAGGATTACTATTACGTGCCACAGCCTCAGCCGACACGGGTCGTTCGCATGAAAATGTGGAGTGACGACGACGACCAGAACTTTTACTGCGCCGACGACAGTTCGACGGTGAGCATGCACTATTGTTATTATTATTATTATTATTATTATTCTAGTATATATTATCGTCTTTGTCCGTTGCTACACGGTATTTAAACCCGATATTCGTCGACCCCGTTGGTTTTTATCGTTGTCCTTAAGCGCGCGCGAAGGGTCGTCGGGTGGAGGTGCGCGCTCGCCACGGGGATGTGTGCGAGCGATTCAAAGTTCCCGCCAACCGTCGCCGCCGTCGCCGCCGCCGCCGTCGCCGCCGCCGCCGCCGCCGGGTTGCGGACGAGCCACCGGGCGACACACGGTTCGTGCGGAAACATGTGCGCCTGATGATAATAATATCTTTTATTTTCTCCTCCCGTTTATCGCTTTTTGATAACCAATATCAGCGCGCGCGTTTGACTTTTGAGCACGAACGCGCGCGTTGTCTATCGTTTCGAAACGAATTCTTGAAATGATTATTTTTACAGATATATTGTAGGAACGGCGGCGGTGGAACTGTTGAATAATACTGTTTTATTATTTTTACCTATGTGTTAATAATGATTATAATGGCTAACAAAACGATTTTTCGATAGTACTTTTAATGCGTATAAAAACAAAAGTGTGTCACGTATTAAGAGGTATCAGAATCGATTCTCTATTCGCAATGTTTATTATGTTTAAATATTTTAGTTTGTAAATGTCAAAGCTTGCGCTTGTGCGTCGAATACGTAACGTTTTGTGCGTGAACTTGTACTTACAGTTACGCAATGGGTTGGGAGGGGGTAGTGGAGGGGCATGTGGGCGGCTGAGATATGTTTTCAAGCCGATATTAACGTTTCGACTTTTTGATAAAAATATCTCGTGTAAATTCCCCTTTTCGCTGATTTCCGGGATAATTATATTATTGGAAAAAAATACCAAGAATAAGTACACGGTTCTTCCGTATTCGCATCGAATATGGTTTTCGTACTCGCTACTGCCGCCGAGCCAATCCTCTGCGAGCGTGCATATAATATCGCGTAATTTATGCGGTCGAGGTTTGTACTATAAATGCGAGTCGTGCACCCCCACACGCGATTCGTACACGATTTTTTTACGCGTTCGAAATATTTTGCGAACTCGGTCTATCCGCACGAGCTGTTAACTGCCGTCAATCGATGGCATGTATTCGAGGGATGTAAATATGTCGTGATAAAACCCCCCTTCTTTACCACAGTCGGGCAAGATTATCTGTTCGTTTGTATAAAAATTGCGGTGATCACAGTATTATAATATCCGGCTGCCGCCACTGTGTTTCGGTGAAAATCGCTGTTTTCATTAGTTATATTATTATTATTATTATTGTTGTTGTTGTTGTTGTTGTTGTTGTTGTTGTTGTTGCGCGGTGCGGTACTTGTAGAACGACCCGCGTAATAGAAAGCAACGGACTGCACAATGCGCGCGTGTAGGTTGGTATCGCGATAGTAGCGGAAGAAATATGCGGAGAAAGTGTGTTAACCGAGAGCTAGCAGTGGCGTCGGCGACCGTATAATAATATAAAAGATTTAATGTATTTTTTTACTCGGACTGCGAAGACTGCGCGAAAACGTGCCCCAAACGTTCGCAGTGGCGGCGGGGATAGGTTGAATTTTTCTTCCCCCCTCCCTCCTTACTGTACCGCTCGTCCGTTTCTTTTCCTATTCGACGAAAAACACTGCTCATGAAACGCTAATCGTGACGAAGTTTCGCCGTGGACTACTCACGGTCGGCGGAGAGTTGGAAAACGGACGGTGTCTTAGAGGCACTCGTAAGTTTGGTTCAATGTACAGAAATAGAATTGCTCTTTGTGTACGGGTAAACAATCGATTCGTTTCGTGCGAACTTTACAAATACTCTGCTTGCCGTTCGCTTGCACATGTTCACGAAAATCACGTACAATTCCATCCGAATTTTGTCTACTCGTCCTAACAATAGTATTATGTAAACGTTCCTGGGCGGGGAAGGGTGCAGTACCTTTGAGCTTATAAGTTTTTCGTTTTTCACATCTTTTTCGAAGTCCGGAAAATGAATACGCGTTTATTTCGTATAAACATGTAATATTTAAGCAATAGTTTACGACTATTACGAGATCGGTGTTGAATGCTGACGAGGACGAGAATAGTGCCAGTGTCAGTTTTCCCTAACGCTATCTGCACGCCTTCGACGATACTAGAATGTGGTACTACCACGAACCGAATTGTTGCTAGATAGCGCCATCAGTGCGAATCGTTGCCACGCAATATGGTTTTTTAGTACGCGAACGCAAAACGGGAACTCGTGAGATGAATACTTTACAAACATACGCCTATTCGAAAAAGAATAGAAAAAAAAAATCTGGAATTTGGTATTGAAACATGATATAGGTTTAATCACAAGTGTACGCAATTTTTTTTAAATTTATTGTTTGGTTCTCATTTAATTATAACTGATGTAAATTGTTTGAATTACTTTTTTTTCTTATAGATAGGTTCGAAAGTAGGACAAGTCTATTTTCGTCTTACCTTTTTAAAATAATATTTTAATTATTAATGATCAACATTCATGGAATAGAATGTAGATAATCGTTTTCTAAGATCTTGTCAACCATATTTTAACAACTTATTTTTCCTTAGTTTGTTTATTTTCACAATTTTCAATCAAATTTTGGTCAGAAACAAACCACGGTAGAATTTTCTTGTAATTTTTAACATTTCAATGATAAAGTTTTTAATAAAATTATTATGATAATACAATAAAACGATAAATTTTTTTTCGTCTAATATATTTTGATGAATTATTTTGTGGAATGTTTTATTTCTGTAGATTTAATGATAGATGGAAAGTTTAATAGTTAACTGGTTAATATCATCTAAACTTACTAATAATGAATAAATAATGAATTTAAACAATTTCATAAAGTATAACATAATACTCATTTTATTAAATGAATTATCAAATGTATATGGTTCATACACAGACTATAAATAGGGATATTCTAATTTTAATTTTTTTTTTCTAAGATATCTTATAAATTTTATAATTTAACTAACTTAATGATTTATATTTAAGAAATAATTATATTTTCGTACTAATATCAATATCAAATTGTATATAGAACTTTTATTTTTTTATTTCTACGTCTATAAATTATATAGTATATTATTCGAAACGGGGTTAATTTTAATAAATTTACATTATTTCTTTCATTTAGATTATCTTTTAACAATATTAAATTATGATATATTAATTTTATCACGGTTAAATATTTAGGTTAAATTTTGAGAATTTAATTGAAATTATTTTTGATGTATTTATGAATATAATACCAATTTGCATATTTTTTCATTAAATAATAACTAATTCAATTTTTTTATTTTTTTACAGAATAGCTTTTTACTACTGAACAACATGGGTATTCATGTTTCACCGATGACAACCATCAATACAAGCATGTCAAATGAAACTGGCAGCGAATCAAATGCTTGTAAAAGACGATTATCTTCATCATTAGAAGACGATCATATTCCTAAAATAGCAAGACGAATGGCTAACAATGAGGAACTATTACTGAATGAACATATTATAGAGCAATTGGATTCAGCGTCTCAATTGAATGATGATGATGCTACATCATCAATTGTTGCTGCAATAGCAGCTGTTACTGATGATTCAGATTGCAGTGTTGAAGATGATGACGACGATGATGACGACGATGATGATGATGATGATCAATACTTACCTGCTGGTAGTTTGTCACTATCTTCGTCTAATAGTGGAAATGTCTCTAATTCTGCCAATTCATCTTCTTTATCAACATTATCGTCTTCTCAACAACATAACTCTCACAATCACTGGAGACAAAATCACCAACAACAGCAAACTATCAAATGTGACACTAATGGTAAGTGTTATTTGGATTTAGGAAGTGGTGGTAGCATTACAACGACTACGACAATGGCTATAATTCAACAACGAACTAATACCGAACCAGAATGCTGTGAGTTGGGACGTTGTGTACCTGCTACACAATGTTACAGACGTCGTAGAGCTGCAGTGTTTGATGCATCAATGCGTAAATTAGGAAAATCTAGCGGTGGATCCAATGGTGGTTCTCAGCAAAGCTGTGAGGCTGGATTGCGTAGGTCGGTGCTTATTTGTAACACTTTGAGATTGATTGAGCGTGAAATGTCTCGAGAAGCTGCTGCTGCAGCACAGCAAGCTCAACAACGACGTAGCTTATCGACAACGATAAATACTCATCAATCACACCAACAGCAACAAATTGATGTCTTACACCATCAAAACCATAATAATAATAATAGACGATCTCCAACACCTTACCCTTCTGAATACAGAAATGGTCGACCAGATATGATGGTTGATCATAATAGTAGCAGTAGTAGTAGTAGCAGTAGCAGTAGCAGTACAACAGATTCTATTGACTCTGGTGTTGATGATGAATATTACTACGATGACGACGATGATGAAGTAGATCATCATCATGGTCATGCAACAGGAATGACTACTAATCATTTAGATTTGAATAATCACCATCTTCAGTACTACAATTTAAATGGAAGTATTGAAGATTGTGATAATTATATTAATTCAGATGAGTATGATGAAGATGATGATGATGAAGATGAAGATATCGATAATTCCAACTTGCCTCTAATGGATCATCAAACCTATGATAACAGTTTCAACAATAAAAGAAATACAGCTTTGGGTATTGGCAATCATCAGTGTGATGATAATATATTACCATTGATTGGTAATAGTAACACTACTATTACATCTATTGATTGGGGCTCAGTTTTAAGCTTATCATCATCAAATAATAATAGCAATGGTAACAGTTCACAATCGTTGTCATCAACTTCAATAACATTGATGGATAATATTAATAGCGATTGTGATATGTCTACGACAGTATCTAGTGATAATGGAGATCGCAAATCTCAGCAACATAAACGTAGAAGACGACACTATAAAAATCATTACCATCATAATCAAACCCATAACAAACAGAGACATCATCACCATTCCCACCATCATCAACGGACCCAGAAACGTCGAGAACGTGGAATTGTATCGTCATTATTAATGTCAAAAAGTAAGACATCAACTAATTATCAAGTACCATCACTAGTGAATCTTTGTAATAATGAAGGAACTAATTAAATACTTGCAACATTATATCTTTTAAAAACTTAAATGTATATTTAAAAGCATTAAGTATTGATGTGTGATTATATGACAATGGAATGATTAAATTTACCTAGATGTTTACGCGTGTACCTGATAGATCACATTTATATATATCTTAAATAATTATTGAATACCTGTAAAGATATTGATATGCAAATAGCAATCTGCAACAAGGATGGCTGTGTAATATTTAAACCAACGGGCAGCTCAATTATTATTATTATTTTTTAATTTTAATGTAGGTTATGTTATTATAATTTTATTATCTCTTGTAGAATAAAATATGTGGACATGTATTTTATTTTCAAAACAAATCAACAGCCAACAATATTACTAAATTCTTCATCATGACACTAATATTTAAATTAAATGTTTTGCAATAAAATTATATGAATATGTTATAGGTCTTATAATATATTAAGAGACTTGTTACCATTTTAAAAATTTTATACATAATATAATATAATATAATATATATTTATATTATATTATTATTATTATTATTATTATTATTATTATTATTATTATTATTATCATTATTATTATTATTATTATCATCATTTTATTATTATTATTTGTATAGTAAAATTAGATCATATATTTATATTACAATCGTTTTATAGAACTAAAGTCCAAGTTTCAGTTGCAAATTTATTTTCAGATAATAGTCCTAAAGAAAAATAAAAGTGAACAGTTTAGAACTCCTTCAATTACTCAAGTATATACTTGAACTTGAGCTTATGTTTTATTCAATTGAAATTATTCTATATAATGATAGTAAATATTATCGTAATTGACACGGCCTATTTATATTAAGAACTTTAGATACTAATTGTATTATTATAATCCGTCCATAGATAATGAAATACAAGTTAAAAATTAGTAGCCGATATTATATAACACTTTGTATCTGAACAAAAATTAATTCATCGTCCAAATAGTAGCATTTGTTTTTCATTGAGATCTCTGTTTTTATTTTTATTTTAAAACTATTATTTTATACCTAGAATATGCGGTAATATATATACAATCATTTTATTTGGTTTTACTAATAAGAATTAGGGTTTTGGTAAATACTAAAAATTAATTGTTGTGTTGTCTACAAATTCAATTATGTACTTATTAATAAAATTACATTGTAATTGCAGTATTATTTGTTTAAATGATAAAGTAAAAAAATATGTTAAACAGCAATAACAAAATGAATCTATAAAATAAGTAAGTTAAATTAATTGTCATTTTTTGAATCCACTGATGTTGTTTGTTAATAATAGTAAAATATTGTATTATAATTATTGATATCGAAGAGCTGCTCAATGAACCAATATTAGCAACATTGTTTATGAAATTGTGTAATTAGAAATATATATTGTATAAATAAATAAATAATAAGTATATATGTGTGTATAAATATAAAAATCACAATGTTTATTTAATGAACAAAGTATGTATATACTAAATATTATATGATATTGTTGTGGTAATTTATTGTTTTACCATAATCAAAAATCGAATATTACAATTATTTTGTTAAAATAAATAAAATATAGGTATATATGTGAAATTTGATTGTAGTTCATTATTTCTTATACTATTTAGACTATTAATAAGTACCTAAAGTTCTCATTTTATTTTTTTTAAAAATAATTATTTACAAAATTAAAAGTTTATAAAAAAAAAGAAAAAATGAACATAATGTCTGATTTAATTATAATTGCCATAACATTTTATTAAAATCAGTAAAATATTTGGTAAATGAAAATAATATTACAAATTAAAATTTAGAATTAAGTCAATTGGAACTATCAAAAAAAATTTTGAATTGTATTTTTTTTTTAGGTTATTAACAATATTATGTATAAAATCAAGTTATTAAAATTATTTATTTACTTATTATTTTAACTTATATGTATAATTATATATAATATATAATGAGAACAACTATAAAACCTTTAGAAAAAAAAAAATAATTTATCACAGTTATCAATGTATATTTTTTATACCTTTTCTGGGTATAGTATATTTTCAACATGTTTGATCTAATAATAACAAAACAATTAAATTGCAAAACATTGTTAAATGTTACTTTCAAGCAGACATGAGCCTTACGAGATGTAGGATCAACAATATTATATTGTAAAACACGTATTGATTGTCATACTAGACTGATGAACCAAAAACTTGAATAAATACAATATAAAATAAAAATGAAAATGCCTTAATCATGACATGATAATGTTTTAGTGAATTACAAGTTCTATATATCTATATATTGATAAGAATAATTGACTATGAGTTGATCATAATAATTTCTGTACATGATTAATTATGGCTTGTAATTTTATCTCTGGTTTAATAATTGTTAACGTACCTATTTATTTTTTCTAATGAAATTGATATTATTAAAATCATTTATAACTTACAAAAAAACTGTTGATCAAGTGTTACAGTTCACCAAATTTGAAAATATATCTTATTTACATTAGTTATAATTAATATATATGTATATATACCTCTATAGATATATATTATTAAGTATTAAATGTTGTGTTTATTTTCAGTTTCTATTTATTTACAGTTTTTTTTTTTTAAATACCAACATTAATTTTATTTTAAAAAAATATAATTGTTGACAAAAATCCAATTGTTCTACATCAGGTATATCAAGATTAATTAACATAGCGTTTTAATGATGGGTACCAGTTTTAGCCATTTTTATATCATAAATTTTCAATGAATTAATTACCTATCAGCTTAACGATTACGTTTTAATCAGTAATGAGCTTTATTAACGTATGCCGTGAATCTTTTGCAGAAATATCTATTTGACATTTAAACACGATGTCGAAAATAACATAATATTAAATGATGAAGATAATATCAAACTGGACAATTAATTACATTACCCAATGTTCATTAGTTGTAAAAGTAATTTATTCAAGTAAGTGAAATCAAATATTTTATAATAAAATAAAAATGTGAAAGAGGAATATAAAAACATATTGTTCAGCCTTTTTTTTGTCAATTAAGTACCTATTGTTATAAATCGTTTATAATTGACATTATCTTATCTGAACATAAAATAACAAGTATAATAATAAATAAATGTATAATAAAGTAATACAGAATACTGAATGGTTTAAAAGACTATTAAAAAAAAAAAAAAAAATTCGACCACATTATAAATTGTATTTATGTAATGTTGCTAAGAATTGTTAATTTCGTACGATGAAACGTCCCAACGAAGGTCAAAAGTGAAATCAAAAGCGTTCAAAAAAAAAGTCGACGGCATTGCTTTATGTTTCAGCAGAAACATAACGAAAAAGATAACAGTAAACATATTACACGAAATAAGTGCTATAATATAACTCGAACTAAAATTATTTTATATTTTACAGGTGCTTACTTCAGTTGGGTTACATATTAAAATGTATAATGAAATCCGAAGTGTAACAAGACCATGGATCAGTGATAATAAACATTTAAGAATTCATTTTTGGACTTTACGCATATACATATACATTTATGTATACCATGTATCTTGTTTACTTGTAATTATAATTAAATAAATTAAATAAAATTTACTTACAGAAACAGTAATGTGTACGTTACCGCGATTGACCAACATGCTCAAGACCATAACAATGTTTCTGTTCTAAATGTGTAATAATTAAATGTACATATTCTTAGTTGCAATGTTAACCGACAAACTTCTCTTGTCTTATTTCATTTACCACTATAACCGGAGATGTCAATGATCTACACAGAACGAGGAGTTTACTGCATTTTTCCATTTCGTAGAGCAGACTTGAGATGATGATCCAATCTGAAATGATAACAATATGAAAAATATAAGCTCAATAATATAGTTTTTAATGTATATACATTGGCGTGGGAGATTTGGGAGTAATTTTATACTTATTTTTCTTATAATAAAAACAGATCTAAGCCTCAATTAGACAGCTAATTAGACCTATAAAAACAGTATAGAATTTCGAAGTTTTAAACAAAATAAAAAGTGAAATTATGTTTTGTCTGCAGAGCATTATTTGCTAATTTGAATTCATCTTAAATTTACTTTTATGAACATGTAAAGAATACATTATATGTACTATAGAAATTGGAAAACAAATTCAATTGAACATGTTGTAATGAAATATGACTTTGGACCACATAAGTAATAGATTCATTAAAATTTAATACTGATAATTAATAATTTTGTCCAAAAGTTCAAATAATTTAGTCAAGTTTCATACAATTTATCATTTAATTAAAGAAAATATGTTCATTATTAATATAAAATATCAAATATATTGAATTTCTACATTCGTTAATTAATTAATATTTATTTTAGAATATTATGAAAGTTTTTATTTTATCATTTAACAATTTGTAATCAATTAAATATTTATTGTGTTGTTATATAATTATTAAATATAATTATCTATGTTTTCAAATTTGAACATTATTACCTACAGTAATTGAATTATACTCGAATTGTTCACGAGTTAATATTTAATTTAAAACTTGTTTTTTTTTTCAAGGTCTGCCATGTTTTTGCATATTATATTATTTATATATAGATATTATTAAGTTATAACTATAATATAAATAAGTACTATTGTAAAATGTAAAATTTGAAATTCGATAAGTTGTAAAAATAAATTAAAGCTCTTTAATTGAAATTCATAAAGTATTATTAAATTTAAAGTACTTTTATGTTTTCAACTATGCTGAAGTATAATTTCAACTTATTGAAAGTACATTTTTTATTTTTATATATACCAATTGTAAGTACTATGATTTACTAATCATTTATAAATTAACATTATTTTTAGACGGGAAGTTCGAAAAATATTTATTATCCTTGAAATATTTCTGTATTACATATTTATATCTAAATCATTTATTTTTTAAAAGTTATTTGTAACGGTTTAAGATCATTTTCTGTGTTGAAGAAAAATTAAATACAATTGTTTGTATTTATTTTAATATTTACAGCAGTAGGTATTTAATGGCCAGTAGTAATCGAAAAAATTAAATATAATAATGGATTAGAATATTTATATATTTATATGTATATCTGTAGTTATTTCGAAAAGTCTATTGTTTAAAATTTTTTTAATAAATTCAAAAATAATTAATTTTAGATTCAAGAATGTAATTTTTTTAAACTTGCAATACTGTAAAAAATTTTAAGTGAATCGAGTAAAATATACTGAAATCATAATTTATCTATTTTAAATAAAATCAATACAAATTTATTTTTATTGGAATATAACGTTGTAAACGTCTAATTTGTAAACATATATTCGTCTGAAATACCTATTGTTTAGTTTGTAGTAATTTTTAAATTAAATAATATAACTCCTCTTCAACATATTATGTGCTTATTGTTCAAAAATATTTCAGACGAATCTTTAATTTGTTCGTATTTATGGAAAATTATAAATTATTAAAAAGTACTTAATATTACAATTTGAAAGTTGAATGGTGATATGTATTGAATGGCAACTATGGCTGCAAATGTAAATTTGTTAATCTTCAAGGCTAGAATGATATTTTCTCTTTTTTTTGAGATTTAAATAAATATTTTAAAGAGTTTGGTAAATCATTACACCTTTAATTTCTTATTTAATTATATATTATTAATTATAAATTATTTATAATATATAATTTTTAATATAATTTCTAATAGGTCTAAATAAATACAATGCCTGCAGAAAATAATTTGTCGAAACGTAATCTTATTGAAAATCAATTATTATATAATACACTAACAATTATGTATACACTGACTAAATGAGTTTTAAATTAGTTTGAAATAGACAAGGTAAAAATAGTTTATAATAATACCGTGTAAATGCAAGAATATATTTTATTGTAGATCATAGTTACCTTCTTAATTAATTTTTTAATCTATATTATAGTATAATTATGTATTCGAATAAGTGATTATAGTATATATTAATATTATATTATGTAATATATATGTGTAAAACGTAATAATTATATAGGTACCTATTTATTTGCTCATAGTTCATTTATTTATCGCACTAATTACGTATTATTATTAACAAATATATTTTTGTACTGTATGTTTATAAGAAATCATCAATTAATTGTTCTACAAATTAATTGGTGATTTATAAATCTAATACGACGGTCAATAATAAAATGTAAAACTGAGGAAAAAAATGTGATTAAACTAGAACACCTAATACTTTATTTGTTAATAATATATAAATTAATTTTTCATTACAGTTTTAAGTTTCAAGTATGACTAATTGAGAAGATCATATATAGATATCAGAAAATATATTAAATTCTACATAATTATAAGTTGAGTAAATAAAAATATATGGTTTTTGTAACTTGTAAGACACATAGAACGATTTTAAATGTTTTATAAAAATGTAATATGTGTACAGTCAATCTAAATTCTGAAATATATCTATTGTATATTCTATAATCCTATTATATAATATTTATATATTATATTATCCTATAATATCCATTAATAATCGGTATATTTATGTGGCACTTCGTAAATCCACGTAAACTTAATATAATACTACAAGGCATTGATTGCTGATGGTGCTGATTGATATATTTTATGGTGCATAATCTCTCGGTTGGCTATTTTCATATATTATCGTTCCAATTATATCTAATTTAAGTAAATAATTTCTATATTTTTTGATATTATTTTGAATGGTTTTCATGCATACCTATGTTACCGTCGAAACTAGATACTAAAATTTGACCAATTAGGTTTAGGAATTAGAATGTACTCCTGTTGTCAAAGTTCAATAAATTAATCGAATAAGTTAATTTAAATACAATATATTATGACCATAAAAATCGAAAAAATCCAGTTGACCATTTTTATATTTTATATTATTTTTTAAATATCTATAAAAATATAACATTTTCTCTTCTGAAGATAATAAATAATGCAATTACAAATAATTTTTTTTCAAATTTGACCAAAAAATGTGTTTAACTATACATGGGTAATATTTGGGATACATAAACGTATTGTTTGGTAAAAGTTTGACAGAGAGTTAAATAAAAACTTTTTCGTACTTCCAAAAATCTGAAGTGTACCTACATTAGATTGTGTTAGGATCAAACCAGGTTAGGATTATTCAATAATAGCGTTTTAACTGTAATAATATAACATACAATAATAAGATCATAATATAATCGATAATCTTATTGGATGTATTACCTATATATAATATACGTATACGTTTTTGTTCGTCGTATAGCATTATAATTAGCTCGACTGTAACGATATTTTGTAATTTGTAATTTTGTTGGTAGTTAACCATTTTTTTTTTTTTTACACAATCCCATTGTTTGCCAAACTTATGATATCATTAGATTATATTAGTCGATGATAATATCATGTGTACAGTTTACGTGTAAATGTATGATATTTGATATGGTCACGTGGCCATAGTAGATAAAACACGTTTTTAAAATCAATATTTACTTTATTGTCATACGAAACGTTTTGTTTAAAAAAACAGTTTTTACACAATCACGCGATTCATTTTACAGTATTTATTCTCATTGACACATCACGTATTTATTATTAAAATATAATATTATTAATGTATTATATATATTACAAGGAGCAAATTCATGATAACCAAAATATATCACGAATTGCTTTAGTGTATAATATTTTCAAATTCAAAATAGTAACGGTTAATATATATTATACTATGTGGTGAATATTGGTGGTTTATTTGTTGGTTAGACAGCGGATCATTAATTTCGTGTTTTTAAGGAGTCTTCTTGAGCGATCGTTATGTCAAAAATACTCACGTAAACGTACATTTTCATAATTTGAAAATATTATTTTACTTTATTATCATTGTACACCACGACAAATTCCTTGTTTCTCGGTACATCTCACTTAGTTACTATAGCACTCATATGTAGTTTCTTACTCTACATGCAACACGTAAAAATATTATATCATATGCAGTACCGTAGCAACCTAATATTGCGCCCGGGATGAAACTTCAATAAGAGAGGGCCCTTTGTATTTTTAACTTAAAAATATTTTAGTTATTAGATATTATTTTCAATAATTGCTTCACCTAATATGAAGGACATTGAAGTTTTTTATAAATAAAATACACAAAATCGACCAATGAAATTTTTAACATAAAATGCGAATTTTTCATTTTTACGCTCTCCCAGGAATTGTGTCCGGGACGTTGGCACATCACTCCCCCATCTTGCCACGGCCATCATCATATAATAAGCGTCTCGATTTGTTCTCAAACATATATCAATGAAACTTTTGATTAGCTTCGAGTATTTAAATAAAAATTAACTGGTTATTATTACTATAATAGAAGTAATGCCATATATTATTATAATTTATATATAAATATTTTATCTATAGTATTATAATTAACGTTAAGTCAATAATAATTTATTGCAATTCTAGGTTAAGTTAGGCTTTTGTTAGTTAGATTCTACTTATTAAAATATTAAAAACATACCGATCTCAGAATTACATATGTTTCTTAAGAAATTATTTTCTAGATTTATAGTCTAAACTCTACAATCTAATCGTGGGAGTGGTCTTAAAGTTTTATAATATTGGAGTTACGGTAGAATTTTTAAAATATAATATCCGTATTAAGACAAAATGAGTTCAATATTTATACGCTAGTTTACTTTACTTTTTTTTTTCATAAGTATCTACTTTATATCAGAATGGTTTTCGTCACATTTTATGAAATCATAATATTATATATATATTTAAACCTAACCTGTATTTTGGTATTCTATATTCCGGTATTCTGGTTTTTGAGCACTGACTTCGTAACACTATATAAATATTACTTTGTATATTTTTTAAAATATCTATAAAATTAAAAATATTTGGCTAAGAAGAATTAATTTAACTATTTAATTTTCTGTGAAATGGTACAAAATTGTTTATCGTGCATAATTTCGATATTTTGGCCATATTTCTGGTAGAATACGTATAATTATAATTTTTTATATGTGATTCTAATAAATAAACCGTGAATTTTAATATTTGACCATCCTATTGTTGTATTGTTATAATGTCTTCAATAAAACTGTTTTCAACGTCTTTTGGATTTAAGAAAAAAATCCAAAAAAACATT